GACAACAAATAACACCAGGCAGCAGAACGTTTCTTCAAACGCTAAACAAAAATGAATGCTTGGTTCGCTATCCAGCCACTGCCCCTGACGCCCATTATGTGTATACGGTTGGAAATTCTTTCTGCAACAATAAAGGAAAGAGAGTCACTGGACAGATCTATGTGTCAAAAAGCAGTCTAGCTGTATGTATGTAGTGTAGTACAAGGTATCACAAGGAGCAGAGTACCTGTACCTGCTCCTTGTGGAGCAGAGCCTGTACAGAGTAACGCAGAGCCGTATTGACCAACTCATGTTTACAAACAAACCGGAGCGCCCGGAGCGCCCCTAGCGGACGCCACCGGCGCCGCGCATGCGCGATGGGGGTGTGGGCAAGAAGCTCGCCGTCGCCCATAAACAAACCATTGAAATGCGATATTTTCGGCGTCGGTATGAGTCCCCTCCAGGGTGTAAGATAGACAGGTGGTGAAACGAGAGCCTAATGAGCGACCGGATTGTGTCCCCCTCGGTTTTCTCTTTTTCTGTGGCGCCATCTATGTGGAGCACCGTGAACTCTCACTCCAGGTGGGCGAACGCTGGCGACCGGTTAGACTGACGGAGAAGGTTTCTCGTGGATTTTCAATGCAGGACTGTCGTGCTCTCAGTTTATTTTGCGCACTCTCCCATAGAGTTCCATGCAAATTCGATTCCAATTTTTTTCTTCTCGCCGCAGCGCCATCTGTCGCAAATCGGGGGTACCCGCAAGCCACCCACAAGCAGACGAGTACACAATCCGGTCACGGCGCTGCGGTAGGTTTCTATGGGCCGTTTCCCCACCTGTCTATCTTACACCCTGGTCCCCGCGCTCTTTTTTGCGTTGGAATTGTTGATTCTACGTCCTCCTAACGATGTCTGACTACTTGAGCGGCGTCAGCGAAATTAACGAGGCTCGTTACACCGCAAAACTTCGCGTGAATAATCCGACATGCGGCGATTCATTCCGCGTGGACGCCGCAGAATGTACGCTAAAGCCTGATTCACATGATGAGATTTCGCTCGCAATTTTCAGTAGCGACGTCGCTCGGACTGCAAAAGCGTGAACCGTAGCTGAGACGGTCGACGTCGATACTGAAAATCGCAAGCAGAATCTAACCAAGTGAATCAGGCATAACAAGTCGGTGATGGCCACTGGTAACAATGATCAACATCTCCTTGTATCTACTGTTTACGTCGAGCCTGCTTACCAACCTTCAAACTTAAGTCTTTTGAGGCCTGCACTTACTTCTTATCGCAAGTACCGGGCCCACGTTTGGTCTACGGGCCGGTGTCCTCTAAAAGAGCAGACGACAAGCAGAAACGTTTGAAACAGCAGACGACAGTTCGAACGATCGGGCGACCGTTTGAACTCGAAGACGCACTGAACGTAGTCCGCAGGTGGTCCGTACAACGTGACAGTTTTCCGGCTTTCACTTTGGAACAAAACAAATACATCTGATGGCCAGAAGTATCCGTGAATTCAACCCAAAATGCTTCCCGCCCAAGCAATCGTGGTCCGACGGCGTCTGGTTTTCCCTTTTCACGGCATATATCCACGTTCTCGGACGAACCGAGCGCATGAAAACTGACCTTCAAACCTTTCTCGGCCCTTTCCCAAGCAACCACTGGACATCCATCGGACATCCGATGGATATCCTTTTCGGATATATCGTACATCCGAGGGCCATCCGCGAAAATCCGAAGGACGTCCCGTGGACGTCCGACGGACGTACAAAGGTAAGAGTTTTGTACATCCGGAGGACATCCGAACAGGGATCCTCAGCGGACATACTTTGAATATCGCGCCTCAAAATCCCTAGGGATTAGGGCATTACGTCTAAAGGCCCGTTCACACTCTTGCGACCGAGTAAAACCGAGAGAGACCACACCGGTTTTTAAGCCTCTTGCGATCTCTTAGGACCAGCTCCGCTGCAGCGCATCCGGTCCTAAGAAGTCGCAAAAGGCTTAAAAACCGGTCTGGTCTCTCGGTCGCAAGAGTGTGAACGGCGCTTTATGCTTTACCCTTTACTTGGACAGCTATGAATGTTCAAAATGTCGTACCCTAGCCCGCATGCTGTGCCAATGAAAGACCATGAGCCAAATCTATATTGAAATAAGATGATAATTTTAATAGTATGCATTTTCTCCAGATCTTCTGGTGGCTCCACTCCTCGACAGTCGCCCTTTTTGTCAACTGTGCAATACCTTTCTGCCCTGGAAAGCTCTTCTGCCATATATTTAGCAGCTGTCTTGCTGTTGTCTGACCCATGTCCTAGTCAGACCTTGGAGGGAGTGTCCGTCTGTAAACAAATGAAAGAAATATGCTTTAATTATATTAATTGGACTATATGAATGGCACTTGTGCCTAGAGACTTTTTCAGTATTTTTAGCCTATGTTATCTACCAGATTGGCTGTGTCGTGGAAAAGCAATCTCATGCCTAGCGAGAAAAGCTTAAGATACCAGTGCCGGTAACTATCGCAAATTAACCGGACGAGTGACGAAGTGCTAGTCCTCGGTGGAGGGAGGCCGCTACGGCTCCCCCTCTCCCCCGCCAAGCAAACAAATTGACGAAGGTATGAGTGCATATTCACAACACACTGAAACCTACCTGTAGATGACGGGGAAAAGCTATTCCCTGTCATCTAAAGGGAAGTTTAAGTGTGTTATGAACATATGGTGCAAAATCCAGGCATGGGGAGGTCCCTCTGCACCATGCAGCCGTAAGAAAACAAGTTGACAAAGGCATAAGTGAGGGCAATTATCACATACACTGTCAACGTACCTGTAGCTCACAGCGGCAGACTGGATGTGCTTGACCCAGGTGTGGGGAAACCCCTCTCCACCGTGCAGCCCTAAGAAAACAAGTTGACAAAGGCATAAGTGAGGGCAATTATCACATACACTGTCAACGTACCTGTAGCTCACAGCGGCAGACTGGATGTGCTTGACCCAGGTGTGGGGAAACCCCTCTCCACCGTGCAGCCCTAAGAAAACAAGTTGACAAAGGCATAAGTGAGGGCAATTATCACATACACCGTCAAGGTACCTGTAGCTCACAGCGGCAGACTGGATGTGCTTGACCCAGGCGTGGGGAAGCCCCTCTCCACCGTGCAGACCTAAGAAAACAAGTTGACAAAGGCATAAGTGAGGGCAATTTTCACGTACACCGTCAACGTACCTGTAGCTCACAGCGGCAGACTGGATGTGCTTGACCCAGGTGTGGGGAAACCCCTCTCCACCGCGCAGCCCTAAGAAAACAAGTTGAGAAAGGCATAAGTGAGGGCAATTTTCACGTACACCGTCAACGTACCTGTAGCTCACAGCGGCAGACTGGATGTGCTTGACCCACGCGTGGGGAAGCCCCTCTCCACCGTGCAGACTTAAGAAAACAAGTTGACAAAGGCATAAGTGAGGGCAATTTTCACGTACACCTTCAACGTACCTGTAGCTCACAGCGGCAGACTGGATGTGCTTGACCCAGGCGTGGGGAAACCCCTGTGTTGACAAAGGCATAAGTGAGGGCAATTGTCACGTACACTGTCAACGTACCTGTAGCTCACAGCGGCAGACTGGATGTGCTTGACCCAGGCGTGGGGAAGCCCCTCTCCACCGTGCAGACTTAAGAAAACAAGTTGACAAAGGCATAAGTGAGGGCAATTTTCACGTACACCGTCAACGTACCTGTAGCTCACAGCGGCAGACTGGATGTGCTTGACCCAGGCGTGGGGAAGCCCCTCTCCACCGTGCAGACTTAAGAAAACAAGTTGACAAAGGCATAAGTGAGGGCAATTTTCACGTACACCTTCAACGTACCTGTAGCTCACAGCGGCAGACTGGATGTACTTGACCCAGGCGTGGGGAAACCCCTGTGTTGACAAAGGCATAAGTGAGGGCAATTGTCACGTACACTGTCAACGTACCTGTAGCTCACAGCGGCAGACTGGATGTGCTTGACCCAGGCGTGGGGAAGCCCCTCTCCACCGTGCAGACCTAAGAAAACAAGTTGACAAAGGCATGAGTGCGTGCAATTTTCACGTACACCGTCAACGTACCTGTAGCTCACAGTCGCAGACTGGATGTGCTTCCAGCCAGACAGGAACGGGCGAAGACGGAAAAAACAAAGCGACGTACGGATGATATGCGCGAAATAACGAAGCGGTTCAGAATGAGACTAAACTAACTTTCCCAAAAATAGAAACAAGTAGGCCGTTCAACTATAGGTGAACGAAAGTTGTGAAACGCTAGCCAACATCTGTACTAGTCCTTTAGGACGCTACTTACGAAAACACGAACGGAATGAATTTCGAGTAACACAAAAAGAGAGGGGGATGGAAAAAAAGGACGTGGTATGGAAAGCAAGTACTAACCCGAAATGGACAACTCAAGCAGATAGTTCAACTAGACGAAAAGTTCTTCTGGAACATTGTCCAACGTGAGTACTGCCACACACGCACCATACTACTTAAAACAGAAATAAAAATATTTTAGTAACACCGTTGTATAACCGTTGACACGCGACAGCAACAACGTGGACACGGAAGAAACAAAGAAAAAGAACAAAACTCGAAAATCGGGTTGCCAGCCGAGACAGGTGAGGTCGCGAAGCTGGCTATACCGATCAGTGGTTAGTCGGTATATGATTCAATAAGAATATACTTCTCGCTACTTTTCTTGTTTGTTGTTAAAAATTAGGCATAATTATTTTACTGCTTGTTGCCGAGCGTGTTGGTGTAAACTGCAATTCATGAAATCAACGTAGGATAACACCAAGGATGACACCGACGGTACGACTGTGCTGTTATAATTTGTCTGTGGAGATTTGTTTAAATTGATAAGTCACCAAACTATAATGTATGAATAAAACAAACGCTACCAATTTATTTATTTATTGATGTTTAACCCCGACGTCATGTAGTTTTCAACTTTTCTAGGTGCCGCTAGTGTCACATATCCGTTAAAATCCATAGCCAACGAAATCCATCGATATTTGTGCATTGTCGGCTCTAGGAGCGCGTGGTTTGGACTCTGGTGTTACCACGACCGGGTTTTACGTTTTACTGTCGGTGAAAGCGACGGTACCGTGAAACCGCCGCCATTTCAGCAGCTCAAGGTAAATGTTTAGCTTTTGCATAATTTTTTAGATCCGGTTAGTGTTGATGACTTTCTCACATCAGTTTTTCTGTTCATTTTCAGGGATGTATGCAATTGTGGAATTTAGGCTAACCCAAGAGGTGGAGATCGTGCCTTGCACGTGGGTCACGGGAAACAACTGTTTATGGCCGAAGGTGTCCACCGATAAGGCTGTCAAGCTAGTGCGAAAGGGGGGGCCACCAGGACCAGGGTTTTCTGAGTTCGAGGTGACTGTGAAAGGACTATTCAGTGAGTATATTGCATCTCTTCATGCGTGCAGCAGTGTTCATTAATTGTAAGTATTTTTTTCTTATGTAACTACAGATTCCTACGAAGAAGGGCGATCTAAGTTGGAGCGGTCGCGGTTCACATCTGATCTCTCGGACGAGGAGATACGCCCAAAGCGTAGGAGATTTCGCCCCACACGCTGGAGCGAGTCCGACTCAAGCTCGGATGAATTCCCGGAAGCCCCGATGCCGCTCTGCGCACGGCAGAACTCGCGTAACGCTATTTGATTTTTATTTTGTTCTGCAGCTGACAGCCTTGTTGACCGTTGCAACTGTTTCTTAACCTTTAGCTTAGAATTCGAACCTGGCACTTGATAAGTCTAGGGTGTGTCGTCAGACGTACTTGATCTGTCGTTTTACGTAAACAATGTGCTTATATAGGGGGTTGGGGCACAACTGCATTTTTTATATTTTGGGAGATCAATTTGTACTTTTTTCATCTTACAATTTGAGGTTTTCTGGTCGCTTTTCACAGCCAGTAGCCAGAGACTGGAATCACAGAGTGCGAGCCCGGCAAGATCAATACACAGTGAAATGTCGCAAGCTGCACTAATGCGAGGTACAGTTTCTCCTGAAAACCACTTATATGGTTTTTCGCTTTTTGTATTCTAATGTTACCAATTCCCAACTTAATCAGACATCTCCAAACAGGTGCTAGTGGTTCGTCCCAGTCGTCTAGCACTTCGATAAACACGCTGGCTCCCAGTCCACAAGATAAAGGTAGCTATAGGGTGTTTTCACCGACGTAATTTCGTCCACCATTTTGTTGTTGTGAGCTGTCTGGCGTGTGCCAAACTCGAGCATTCCAAGGATTGACACGCCCCCTCAAATGCGTAGAGCACCGCTGACAGGTGCTCTACGCATTTGAAGGGCAGTTCAGAAGTACCAAATAAATAAATAACATAAATAAATATGAGAAGCAATCCAAGTCACCTTGTACCCTTATTGCATCTAGCGCCTGCAGTTGTCTTTATCTTCGTAGATGCCAGTGGTTTTTCAACCGCATCTCAAACATTGACAAGGATGTCGGCTCCCAGTCGATTAGATCAAGGTACTTTACTGCAGAATTGTGTTGCAGCTGCGTATTAAGATATTTTGTGTGTCCTTCATTAAATTTTTTCAGCACTGCAGGCTATGCAACACATGACGCCTAGCACCAGTGCTTCGACCTGCGGTAAGCTAATTTGATTTCAATTGTTTTTCTTTCACAGCATGGTTGCACAACTTTGAATAGTTTTGAAATGGCTAAGCTCTTGACTTTTTGCCATCTTTTTTTTTCTTTTTAGCTGATCTGCGGGCCACTGCTAGGATCTTGAGTGCTGCTGGTAAGTAGGATGTTGTCTCCTGCCTGCACTAATTTTATTTGCCAATATTTATTTCAAGCCTTTTCTTTGCATGCAGAGTTTCAGCGACGGGTGCTGAATGGGATGAGCGTCATGAGGAGCCAGCAGACGGAGATAATGGACATGATTTCGACATTGCTACGAGCGCGTGAGAGTTTCGTTGTAGAGCCCAGCCAGCCGATCCTCGTTGATCCCCTCGACACTCCTGAAGCAATTGAGGTGTTTGATGGCGCTCTTACAGATGCCACGAGTGAGGCTTTGGTAAGCAATTGCTGTTATCAATGCCTGCCCATACTCTAGTTTTTGTCACTTACTGAGGCAAGTATTGGTGTTTGCATTCTCTAGGCTTTGCTGTTATGTCTTATCCCTAGTGTGCAGCTAAGGTTAAGACATGCAGATAACAAATAAGCTAGGAGCAAGCTGTGATTTTAAATCGAGATGCATCGAAGGGGTGAGACTGCCTGTTCTCTGGTAAGCAACAAAGGTGTTTGTAATGGTGCTATACTTTAGCATTATTTCATGAGTGTAGAGCAAGCTCTGACTACTTCCGTATTTCTTCAAATGGCAACTCTGTCCCACAGTTCCAGATCTTAGAGCATGGGAAATGACTAATGAGATAGAACAATGACTAGGAGGTGTAAACAACTGCCCAAATAAAATAAAATTTGGGCCCTCACATTCATTCAATCTTTCTCAAGGTATCACCAGTTCACTCATACTGGCCTCGGAGATAAAGAGGGGGTGTGAATTGGCTAATTGTAAAGCCTAGCCCAGTTAATACAAGCTGTAAACCCATTCATGTTCAGGTTCTTTCTATCCAGCTAACCTTGAATGCCAAACATTTTTGGCTATACTTGCTTTCTGGGTATCGTAATGCTCCTTATGTCATGTCTTACGTTCCCCAGGCACCAGCCCCACGTTTTATGTGCTCAAACACGGCATTGGCATTTTGCATGGACAGTGAATTGAGGATTGCATTTTCTTATAACCAAGGTTATTGCCCCAAGATGAACCCTTTCCATGATATAAGTAGCTTTGGGGATAGCGTTTCACTGGTCAGAGTAAAACAGCGAAAACTGGCTATGTCTTGTTCGTATTAACTGTGTCGTGCTCTGTACGTTCCTTCCAGGTTGTGGAGCTGACCTCCCTTGGGGACCTGTCTATCAAAACAACTGTAAGGTCTATGCTTGCACACCTGATTAGTGACGAAGCTGCAGCCAAGTTCAGCATGGATGGGCGCAAAGGGAAGAAGGTTTTCCGTAGCCTTAAGCTGTACAAATTGATCTTTGGTAAGTAGAAGTTTGCAACGCAATTCCCTGCCTTTTTAAGTTGTACTATGAGGGTCATCTATTGCTTTCAGCTGCTATAAAGCGGACAAAGCACTGCAAAGAGTCTACGAAAAAAGAGGTGGAAACGGAAGTCAAGGAGTGGCTTCGCCGCGCAAAGGAGAGGTGCACCACTTCTAAGGGAGAGTAGGCATCTACCTTCAAGTGTGAGAAAGGTGCCTCTGCCCTGGTTCTGATTGCAAATAAAAAACTATTTTGCTGTCTAACATCCTTGTTTCCTTCTAGCTTACGAAACATAAGGCCAACTGGCACTGCGACATCACTACGTAAAATGTAATCAAATGATTGCAAAATTACTTTAAAGAAAATTGTGATGGGCCCCTATGGAACTTCAGGAAATACTGTGATGGGACCTCTTAAGACCTCAGGAAATCTTGAAGGGGCCATCAAATCTGTCAAAGAATCTTGGGGGGGGGGGGGGGGGGGGGGGCGGGGCGGGCCTCAAACCTATCTTCATTAGGGAAAGGTATATCCTCTGCACAAAAAGGTTCTGTTATGATAATCGTTTAGTGCAGAATGGGACCACTTTTAAGTAACTGTTTTTGAATGGTTTCCCAATACCTATTGGGATATGTTCGAACATCCACAAATGGACAGCCCTCGGACATCCATTTCTGTATATCCACAGGACGTCCACTATTAGTCCGAATTTGGACGTACGGAAACGGATGTCCAGTGTACGTCCGACGGACGTCCTTCCCTGGCAATGGATATTCGGCTCTTGTTCGGACGTCCGACGGACATACGTGGTTGCTTGGGTTGGTACAGCCTCGCAGCATTTTGACAATAAGGCAGGTTTTTGTCTGGTTCCTTTCAAAACAGCGCAGGAATACACGTCTCAGATGGGCGCTTCCGCCCACAGCCCCGGACCGGAAGCGCGTCCGACGCGCCACCACCGCGCCGTGACGTAACAGAGATGAGTTCGTGCATATGGGGAAAGTCAGAGCCGTATATGTAGAGAGTTTGGTCAATGGGAGGCGCGGGCAGAGCCAGGGCGTGCGGTAGACTCGGAAAGAGGGCTTGGCATGCTCTCTTGACCATCCAGAAGCCGAAAAGAATCCCCTAGCGGTGGTAGCGAGAAACAGTTCTGAGCCGATCGATCATCGAAGGCCTATGTTCGTATATGGTTTAAATAAGTGCGTAAGAGTGAAGTGTAGTGACTCTTTGTGGTTGAAAATAGGGTTCACGTGTTGTTTCATCATGATCATGCAGAAAGATGTAAGAAACGAATGCGCCGCTCAACTCTGTTTTGCGCGGACAGAGTGTGACCGCTCGGACGGCAGATTCCTGGCCCTCGGCGTTTGGCGTACAGATTATGTCGATCGTTCCGGTAGTCGCACTCTTCCACCATCATTTCTGATGAGCGTGATTAAAACATCACGTGTACCATATTTTCAGCCATCGAGAGTTACTCCAATGCAGTTATCAGGTTTGTTTCTCGCGACCACCACCAGGGTATTATTTCCGGCTTCTGGTTGGTCACATTCGAATTTCTGAAGACGCCCTGGAACACGCCCAGCCCGCTTTCGGCCAATGGCGCCGCTTCATTTGTCTCCTATACTTCCCAACGAATGGCCAAACTCTCTACATATACGGCTCTGGGGAAAGTTTGGTCAGTCTATGATCTCGCCGCCGTACCGCTCTCGTCCCGAGCGAGCCAATCAGCACGCGGCGCAGAGCGAGAGGCATGAGCGCATGCGCGCGAACTCTCGGCTGCTCGCAGCCGAGTGGGGAGGGCCGCCATTTTCGTTCATTGTCCCGGCGGAATGCATGGGATTGGCATCTAAATCTCGATTATTTCCTTTTATATCGCTGGCTCTGGCAAGAAAAGGACATACTGTTGTTCCTCGGTGGGTTAAAAAGCTAATAAATGAAGTTTTTTCGACGTATGGCCACAAACTTTTATTCAGGCGAAAAACAGGTCGGCCCGTTGCAGACGACGCGTAGCCTCAGCAGTAATCTTCTCCGACCAGTCTCCGACAGCGTTGCGAAAAAATGGCGGTCGTCTCCTCTCAGCTCCCTTCCTTCTCTCTCGCTACTTCGGCGTTCTCCTCCCTTTCGTTTGCTTTTCTTCTCTCCGGCGCCTTCGTCGCCACACCCACTGGCCAAACTCTCCCAATATACGGCTCTGGAGTAACGCCAACTGTAGCGCCCTCACTCGGCGACTAACGACGAATGCCAAAAAGGCTCCACCTCTTGCATGGTGAGCGTATCGGGTATAGAAGAAAGCGGCAGTTTCGTTATATCTAGGCTATTTTTCGTCTAAAAACTGTTTTTAATATCATAGGTAAGCACTCTAAAAGCATTTGCATCACTCGTTATGGTCTGAGCAAGCGAAAAAACTTTGTTTTGGAGCCCAAATCACCGTACGGTAGTTGACGGCAGAGCAGACTCTGTGGTGAGTAGGCGGCAGTTGTGCGGTTCTGCACTCTAAGAACATCCCTTGCGTCTACTTTCCCGCACAACACTAGGTGAGCCAATCACCGCAACTTACAGAGGCAGCTCAGCGAATGACGATGCCGATACATATGTTTAGTCCAAAAACGCAGTCTGAGTTGTGACATTCAGCAATGCAAAATGCTTAATGTCACAACTCAGACTGCGTTTTTTAGTCTGAACATATGATTCGGCATCGTCATTCGCTGAGCTGCCTCCGTAAGTTGCGGTGATTGGCTCTCAAAGTGTTGTGCGGGAAAGTAGACGCACGGGATTCTTTTAGAGTGTGCGGCCAACGTTTCGTGGAGGTTGTTCAGTTAGCCAGTGCAGTACGACATGCTAGCCTGGGGTCTGTAACGTGCTTCACTCTGTAGTGATACATAAAAGCGGGCCAGTACGATTCTCATCTAGATCGAAACGGGAAGGGGTGGGGATTGAGCCCATGATCCCTTGCTGCTGCAACGCGAATTTTCGTTTCCGGTGCTCCGAGCTAAGACGCGCTAATAAAGTAACATGCGCAGAATAAAACGAGCGTATAGTAAATGAGTGACAAGCATTGCGGTATCGTACGAGCGCGTAGCAAACGTGATAGAGGAATATGACGAGAGAAATTCACTGCGAGCTAGCGGCAAGTCTGTACAATAGCCGTCGATTAACGCGTATTTTTTAAATACTATGCATACAGTATACCTTTTTCTCGGTTCTTCTTAAAAGAGTAGCTCTCCGTGACTTGGGCGAAGATCGAAGGCCCTGCATTTGGCGCTAGCTTCCGTTTGCCGTCGCTCCGTCGTCCAGACAACTGATCTTCGTCAAAAATGAACATCGGAGTTTGTGTTCATTAGCTTCTTCAATCTGTTACATGGATTATCGCCATAATATAACTTACCTCGCACAGCTGAGTACAACAGGTGGGTGTGAAGTCCTTTCTACTGATCCGCGACAGACACAAAAGTCGTCGTTTTCGGCGTTTCTTGCCTTCCGTGATACAAAAAGGCTGTTTTCCAGCCTGATGCCGGTAATTACACCCGAAAGCGCAGCACCCTGGAATCTGGGTCCCTTTCAAAAGCTCATTATGTTGCAAAAACAATGACTGCTGATACCACGCCAATGCTCCTCTTGCGAAAGCGCTGGAAAATTTTGCCCATCTGATCGCCGTGAGCCAATAGGGAGCGCGGATTGTCGGCGAATTCGAGCATCAATTAATGGCGCTACTTAACGGCGATCACGTGGGCAAAATTTTGCCCACGTGATCGCCGTGAACCAATAGGGGGCGCGGATTGTCGGCGAACTCGAACATCAATTAATGGCGCTACTCTGCTCCTACGGGAGCATATACAGTGACGTTAGTACAAGGCTGCCAAGAGTGAGCTTTTTTTTTTTTGTAATTTTAGAATTCTTTTTGTTTTGGGGGCACAGGAGGGCAATGGGGGCACGCTTACCAGGGAGCCGCGAGCCGCACTTGGACCCGCGAAGAGCCGCATGCCGCTCGGGAGCCGCAGTTCGGCCACCCCTGCCTTAGATTATCGCGTGGTATAACGCACTATTCGATTCTGTCTTCGTAGCGAACATTGACAGTGCTCCGAAGTTCCACAATATTTCTAGTTCGTGGCCTTTTCCGGCGGGCTAGTTAGCTTCGTTGAGTACGCTTCTCACAGCGCACTGGTGTGCTGCGGAGAAGCGACACCCGCGAAGTAGACACCGTGGCTATGAGTATTTCGCTCCGTCTCAGAGCCCAGCCGCGTTCTTAGGAGAAAGGCACTCCTCTAGAGCCGGATGGTGCACGCGCACGCTGCAAGTATTGAAACAAAGCAAAAAAACAAACAAACTAAAAATAATTTGGTGAATGCTCATGTAACAACTCTATCTTGAAGCACTAAAATTTTCCGATTTTAACTGCGGCTAGTATGCAACTTTGCGGTAGATTGCGACATTTTGTTGAGTTCCATGTGTCGTCCGTTGTGATCATCTTTTATATCAGAGATATACGGAAGGAAAATTCACTATTGCGAAGTGATTTCTAAATCATCTTTATTGGGTACAGCTGTGCTGTGCTATAGGTTTAATTTTGATGCCGAATTTCTTGTTTAGTAACCACCTTCTTATGGACCCTCCAACTGTACAAGGGCGCGGCCAATAAAGTTTATATTCGAACGACATGAGCTTTACACTTAACGAATGGAAACTTGGGAATAACCTTGATGACTTCAGCTCAATTATTTGAAGGAGGTATCTATATCAGCTACACATCAATTTCGCATCATTATAGAATTCTGTGTGTAAAATGGCATTGACGTGCATAGTGAAATAAAAGCTTGGGTTTTAGCTAAATTACTAATATCACAGTTTTATTGCAACTTTCAGAACCTAAGAAAACATCCATATGGGTATCCAATATTATTCTAACTTTATTTCCGTGAACTGCTCTTTTATTTCAAACCTGAATGCCAATTAATTTAACATATTTTCATGCTATGGCCGTCATCAGTCAGCGGTTGTTCGGCTGTTGAAAGAGGCCCTTTTACACACTAAGAATGTCACTTGTCACAACCTTCTAGCTGTTATCTCCGATGACTCTAAACCCGATTAAACAAATAGCTGAGTCTTCAAGAAAATCCGACTGTCTGCTGCGCAGCGCATGCTGATAAGTGGTTGGCATTGAACATAAGTGGGCAGGCAAGCAAGAAATTGCTTTTTGGACAGGCCAGTTTATCGGCTTGGACGTACAGCCTATGACAAATGCATGTAAGCAATCTTAAATGAATCTCAAAAAATTGTATTTGCATGCTCTGCCAATGTATTTTGTCACGAAGAGCAGACAAGTGCTGCATTTGTTTCGTGAAAATGTCGAAAAGCAAAAATT